AAAATAATAATAATATTCTAAGATAATTAATAAATAATAAAATAATAAACTAATAATAAATTCGTTCTATAACAGTGTGAAAATTTTGATTCCCTTTTTTTTCTGGTTTTTGTGACATTGTGTGATTTGTTTGGGTCAGGTCCTTATAATTTAATGTTATAATTTATTTTATTTTATTTTTTAATATTTATATGTATACATATCATTTGTTCGACCTTATTTTTGTAATTAATAAAATATGACCACTCGATTATTGTTTTTTAAATTAATAAAAAATGACAAAAGATACAGTATAATTATAAATTAAAAAAACATGGTAACTGAGTTTATTATTATTTAAAAAGAATAAACATTTAATAACAGTATCATTCAATAATTAATGAGAAATGAAGCACAAAACTAATTCAGCCGAATTATAAGTATGTTTCTCTTTCGTGCCTGAAAAGTTTGATAAAAATAGTTCCACATATCATTGTTAGTAATTTTACTATCTATTAGAAAAAAAAATTAATGGAGGCCTCAATAAATTAGTTTCTATTGAATTCCATTGACCCATTGACTTCATTGAAATTCTTCATTGGGCTATTTTCAACTTCGCATAATTAGAAATTTAACTTTGGCAAATACACTGTTGAAATTTTTATCAAACAGATAATATAATTCTCTCAAATCAATAAAAGGCGCCATTTTTCGCCAATTTTGATTTTAACAAACAAATTAATAACAGACAAATTAATAAAAAATCACCATATTAAAAAGTACAAATACCTTTACCTGTTCTAACTTGCATCATCAAAAATGAGCATTAATCCCTCACACAATTTGCTTCTTCACTATGACCAGGATGAATTACAAGAGGTTTTAACAAATATTCAGACTCTGGATAATGAAGGTGACTATGATGATGACTCTTTATTTAATTTTGAACAAAACCTGTATGGGCAAGCTTTAGATTTAACAGAACATGAAGATGAACCATGGAAAGAGCTTAATGCTGAAGATGTGGCAGTTGGGCAGGATATTAACTATGAGGAAATTGAGGAAGTTGGTAGTGAATATAGTGAAGAAATTTCCGCAACTACACAAAAACCCATTACACTGTGCGTTATAATTGATAATGATTATGGTGAGATATGTCGCTGTAATAGAATCAGCAATAAAAGATTACAAGAACTTGTTGATGTTTGGGAAATTGATGCAAATGCTGTTGAAGAAGTTAACAGATAACTTCACCTTCTTGGAGTCTGCTCAAGGCATTTTAATTACGATCAAAATACCATACACAGAAAAAATTTAAAAAATGATCGCCCAACTGATAGAAGTTAATTCAATTCTTGTATCTGCTTTTTTTGTCACAAAAAAAAAGTCTTTTTTAGTTGTGAAGCAAGTTGTTTAGAACATACATGGATTATACACAATTAGACAATACAAGTACCTTGTCATGGAATGGTTCTCTGCCCAGCTATTAAAAATAGCATAGACACAGAAAATACAGAA